ACCACCAGGCTGAGCCCATCAACTCAATACGCTCGAGAAAACCCGGTTTAATCACAATGCAATCCAGTGGTTCTTCACCTTCACTGCAGCCTTGCACCCCTTTGGTTCTGAATCGTGAAACAACATGGATAATGTTAATAAACACATAGGGTTTGATGAAACAAATGAGTTTTACTTACGTGCCCGTCCTTAATTTGTACTTTCGATTAATAACCTTCTAAAAAAAAATCTGGCCCATGTCTCGCACCCCCCAGGGGCACGGTGCATGCCACCCCAGGTTAAGAAGAAGCTGAAGAACCACCGAATTAATCTGCGTGAATCTATGGGTCTACCTGAGTCTGTGCCAGTCCATCCTTCTTTCTTCTTCGGAAGGCTGACGTCGATTGAAGGCCAACATCTGTAACATTATACTGGTAGGAACCTCCTGGTTACACAAGCCCACAGGGGATTATTGTGTCAGTCGTGCAGGGAGGGGCTGGGCGGGGAGAGGCTGGGTGGGGAGGGTGGGGCTGGGTGGGAAGGGGCTGGGTGGGGAGGGTCTGGAGGGGCTGGGTGGGGAGGGTGGGGCTGGGTGGGGGGTGGGAGGGGTGGGGCTGGGTGGGGAGGGGCTGGGTGGGGAGGCAGGGAGGGTGGGTGGGGCTGGGTGGGGGGGTGGGCGGGGTGGAGAGGGGCTGGGTGGGGAGGGTGGGGGGTGGGAGGGGTGGGGCTGGGTGGGGAGGGGCTGGATGGGGAGGGTGGGGCTGGGTGGGGAGGGGTGGGGCTGGGTGGGGAGGGGTGGGGCTGGGTGGGGAGGGGTGGGGCTGGTCACCCCGTGGTGCCCTTATAAAACTCAACGTTTAACCTACTCACGCCGCCTTGTGCCCGCCCTCACAGTCGGGCATATTTGCGGAATGCACCACGCCGCCGTTGACCCTGCAGGCCATTGACCGAGCAACCCGACGTTCCCACACCAGCTCCCTCCGCAGGAATGTGTTCATTGCACTTCTGCGGTTGAGCCAGATAATGTTGGCGGCTAAGAGGACAGCGCAGTGGGTGAATCTCCGTGGTTGCGATGCCTCCGCCATCGTGACGGTGTTCGTGAATCGGGTCTCATTGCCTCCTCGGTTCTACGTTCCACGGTCCATTCTGCGCGGTGGCCACAGTTTCCTCACGACTGAGTTTATTGTTCATTGTTATTATACATCATCATCAACATCAGAAACTGCTGCTGCTAATGCCGTGCGTTGTGCGCAGTGGATGCGGTGGGGGGCTCCCGTGGTGCGATGGATGCAAGTGTGGGGGGCTGCGTGAGCCCCCCACGATTTACCGCTCGCCTGGACCGGCCTCGGGGCGGCAGCTGTACCGCCTGTTCACTCGACATGCATCCGTCACTACTACTGCTACTGCTGCTATTGTTTTGCAAGGCATGTTGTTGTTGTTGTTTTTTTGTAATGTAGACAATGTAAATTACATTTTCGTTGCCTTTCTTTTGACGTGACGGGACGCGCTCAGCCAAAATCCGAGGCGAGCGAGCGCCCCCTCGTTGGCGCTTAAGGCTCCGGGCCCCCCGTCCAAATGTCTAACCTTTTATCCTAACTCCAATCGCCAAAAACATCTCGGATACGCGACTGTTCAATGGGTAAAGTGGCCGATAGCGGTTTAAATCGGCTGCGGAGAGCATCGTTCGATCAAACGAGGTCAACAAAGGGGACGCCGGGCAATAGCGCCTATATAAGGAAAACTGCGCCGTGGCGTTAACGTGTAGCCCCAGTGGCCTAATGGATAAGGCACTGGCCTCCTAAGCCAGGGATTGTGGGTTCGAGTCCCATCTGGGGTGTGCGGATTTTAATTTTTATTAACGGCGCCTGTTGGTACTGCTCGCTTGAATTACACGTGGCGATGATGAGTCGAAAGTGCGCCTCGGATTATTTATTTCGTGCGTAGAGAACTGCCGTGGGTTTTTTTTTTTAAAGAGACAGGCCGTGGACAAAAATCTTATGATTTGTAAGCGTGCAGTGCTGCCCCCTAATGGCCAAGGTGGCCACGTTACGTTTGGGCAGTCGTGGGTGAATCAAAACGACGACCAATTTTTTGTTACACTCTACATAATGTATATATTGCCCTAAATCATTGGCACAAGCCAAGAAACATATTAAGGTCCCAAGAGGCTCAAGTTGCCCCGGATTTCTTTGTGTAAATCATCTCACTTGATCTCACTAAATTTTAAAGATAGTGGCGTCGTTGGCAAGAAGAGTTAGGACATTTGCATGCCGGCGTTATGGTCCACAGTTGACAAATTACGGTATTACGGTACCCCAAAATGACTCAGTTGGAAAACACATCGCAATTACCCCCCCCCATACTGCGAAAGTTGGCAGGAACTTCCTGGAAAAAGAGCCGTGAGACTCAAATAATTTTTTTGTTAAAAAAGTTTGACAATAACTAAACACAACTATCTCTATATTTGTGTACATGATCCGATTTCACTCCATCGACACCTCTGCTCCAAATCTCTTCTGTGATCCTTTTTCTTAAATATATACATTTAAAAAGGTCCTCGGAAAAATCTTCTGTGGGCCTCCAATGGGCTGCCAACACCTCTGCCCTTCAGAAAGTCAACATGCGACATAAGGCACTGTCATATCAGCCAGTCGATCCACTGCTGGATGAAGGCCTCCCCCAACTCACAACCATCCCTCACGATCCTGCGATCCAACCATCCATCGAGCTGATGTCAACCCTACACGGTAATTTCATAAATATCATAAGCATGGACCCGTCATTGGCATTTCAAATTTGCGAAATACATATTTTATGTGTACGCTTGAACTCGCATCTTCGCAGGCGTATATATTTTAAAATTATTATCTTGTTCTGCTGTGCTTGGGAAGCGTAAACAATTGCGATCTATTAAACAAAAATCACGACGCAGTTAGAATATTAACAAAAGACAACACAGCATCATTGACGTAACAGTCCCATCTTATCAATGTGTGCGTATTAATATTGCATTTCAATACATGTTGGGGGCAAAATTATTAACGGGCACTAAAATGTACTGAAACTGTTGTTCCGCTTTCCAATTCACGCGTAGATTATAGACCATATGCAAGGTACTAGAGTATTAAACGCCTTAAAAATAGACAGCACTTATGGTCGCTTGGAGGAGCGAAATGCAATTATGAGCCGGCAAACACCGCAATTGAGCATTTAGCAGATGCTCATTGAGGAAGTGAGTCTCAGACAGCAACCAACCGGCAGAACCAACCAAGAATCCACCGTTAGATGAACACCGCATCGGTCAAAGGGGTTGTTTGACCATACTTCACCACTCTGGCCAATGCGGGCTGGTGACGAGACAGGGCGGGGTTGCGCCTAAGACCGGTTCAGATGGCACTCGCCACTGATGGTAGGGACTTGAACTCAGGTGCCCGGTTCGTAGTTCGGCGAGTGCGCTAATAACGCTACCGCCCCACACCGCACGAAAAGATGAATTTGACAGTAATGTACAGTATAAAAGTGTTTTGCCAATTCTTACGTGGCGTGCGGTATGTGGGAATTCACTTGTGTCACTTTGTACTTCAACAAATGTTTGCACCCAGGCTAAACGTCTCACCGAATAATTGTATTTAACAGCTCGCTGTTAAGACTGAAGTCGGTGGCACACGACTTAGTAACCGCAGTCACAGCGCGAAGTATACTGGATGTGGTGTGCCAGGTACATACATATATTTTTTTATACCAGGTCGCAGCACTGGGAAAATGCGGCTGAAATGAATCCACGGTGGCACAAGTGTGCATCACAACAAATGCACTCACCTAAAACATGCTAGGCCTTGTCGAAGGCATATGAATGGGCTTTCACCTGATTTAAGTGAAGGATTTGCTATAACATATGGAATCAACTAGTATGGTTTTTCAAAGTACGCAAAACTTGTTTACGTTGAGTTTTCCCGCTGATTGGCGTTAACAGGATTAATACTCTACTTGTGCAACCGGGCCTCATTAAATGGTTGAAGGTGCTTGGCACCCAACACCAGAATTCTTCCAAACAGAACTAATTAATTGACGTTATACAGGCTAGGTAGTTGTTGCTTTGTCTGAATGACAAACACTATTGCCCTAATGGGGCCTTGCGGACGCAACTCCACTTGTTATCCTGCTTGCACACTCAAAGGTGCGGCCCTGCAGCGTTATGCTCACGCCACTGGTGGCGGAAGCGCCTCCACGAGAGGAAGCCACCCAGAGCCCGTTCATGGGATGGGAATTCTGGCCGAATCTTGTTCACTCAACCCTGCACAAATGTAACTCGGAATCACTTACACGTAGCTGGTGGCATTCATATCAGCTGTAAGGCAACAATTACCAAAACAGATTGTATCGTGGGGTGATTGCACCGTCTTGGTTGGAGAACCAGAGGTTTCCACCAATCATAAATCACGTAACATTAGATTAAAACAGCATATATGTTCCTGCATATCAAACTAGTCAGCTTTAATGTGATTTAGCACAAAATAAATGTTGGTACACGAGTCGATCTCCTAAATATATATGAAAACGTGTTGTCATTCATGCACAACACATTTCCAATCGGTTACATTATTAAATATAAAAAAAATGTATAAGGGTGTGTTTACAATGTTCAAATTCATCTTGAAAAATGTTGGACTAAATGTATGATCACAAAATTTGTTTGTGTCTCGGAATGTTCCAAAAGTATGACGTCACAGGGAATGTTCACTTCATGATGTCCATGCTTTTGACAGTGTCAGATGGCATCGGGTGACATCACTTTTGTTAGCACGACACGTGACATTACATAGATTTAGCCGAAAAAACCGAACCGAAAATTGGCGTTAAAAATAAAAAATACATTTAATAATCCGGACACTCATCCCGAATACAATACTAGCAGAAACAAAACAAAAGCTGTGATTACAATAATTAAAACGCAGGCATAAAGATAACCGATATTTAGCATTATCCCCCCCCCCACCCCCCGTAGAAGAAGAGCGCGCAGGTGCGTTTATTCAAAGAGTTTATTCGGCAAAGTAACACGTTCAGAGGTTAAGATGTGCACAGCCTGTTATAAAGCACCACGTACGAATCGAGACCTGCACGCTCAGCTCACACGTCGGGTTCCCCTGTACAAACGATATTCTTCCAAAAACTGCGACGTCAGAATTTTACCTACGGCAAACTCATACTGGAGACTAAATCACGTGGGCGAAAGAACATTACCGTGTAATTATACATATTACAAAGCGGCAAAATTTTGGTGAAAATTAACTGTTGGCGAATTTCAGTTTAAGCTTCGAATTCACGGTGGATATTTTAACACCGACATTTCGCTTCGGATAACTCGGGGGGTCCGGAGCCACGTACAGCTCTTTAAGGAACTGCTTCATTACATCAAGGACCATTCACATACATTTCGACTCTCGAAATAGATATTTTTTTGCACCGAAAACGAAAAAAAATTGTCTTGTTATTTTGATTCTTGACCCCAGTGAACTAATGGTCATTTTATATCTGTATCACACATCACCCAGGTTGTAGACAATGTTTATTAACTCAATTCATCACTGCTCTGCGTTAAAAATAAGGGGTTCAGAAAGTGTTCCACTTGTCCCATAATTGCGTGGCATTTCATATTTTTGTCCAAATAAAATATCACAATTTACATTCAAGAAAAATATTACCTCCTAATTGAAAGGATAACATTAACTGTGATGGTATTGCTGCCGTGTCAGGCGTTATACCTATTACAAACATTAAATACGTGCAGCGTTTAATTTTAACCTCAGTGAAACAGGTTTACAAGTATAATTACAATGAAATCAGATCACGGTGAAATATAGTAAAATGCATATTCAAACAAATGTCCCCTTCAGATTCCCTTTAAGTGGGCTTCAACTGCTATCATTGCATATTGCCTGTGTTGGTACCTCAGAAAAAATAGCATATTTCCATTCCCATGATCCCCTTCCTGCTAGAATCAATCAGATATTTTTCCAAATGGAAAAAAAAGACCCATTTACAAATGACAGTAATAAAATCATGCACATGTTTATGGCCGGCAACACCAGCTTTTTTCATTTTGGCCAGAATGAAGCCATTGTTTTATGGTGTAACAAAAGGTACTAAAATAAATGGAGTGCCACTCAGCGGAAAACTAATTTACCAATAGTGCACACTAATAGCATTATTCCTTGACTTAAGTCATTTGCAGTGAAACCATTGTGAAAAGGCCTGTTTTTTTGAGTCACCAGACAAGGCAAAAAAAAAGCGTTTGTTCGTTGCAAGTATTTATCTTATTGTTATCTTGTAGATGCATACATCACCTGTATCCTAGTTTGTTTAGCATATACTTGAAGCGTCGTTCATACTGTAACGTTAAGCTAAAGCACATCATGATAGCAATGACACTTTCATATTGTAACGTCAATGCAATGCTCGACTCTAACTTTAGAGCGTTTGTTTTCCTCTCTCTTAGCAAAGCTTTAAATTTATTCGTTTTGGATAACCCGGCAGACAAAGCTGATGTACGTGTCTACGGAAACCATTCGCGGTTGGCTTGCATCTTCCTTAAACAAGCCATGTCAGGGGCTGTTGCTGTATTTAATAGCAAATTAATATTTTACAGCAGGAACAAAAATAAATGGCACTTTTCCCTGCTGACACAGGGTGCTCCTGCTGTGAAGTTCAGAAATTCCTGCAGATCTGAGACGGCCGCACTGAAGCGTATCAAAAAACACAAGTTAAAAGCCCACACAAACTTTCCTCGTATAGAGATACGTTCTCTAACTATACATCGGTGTACATAATTCAGGTCTGTTTATCCGATGGCCCTTAACCCGAATTAATGGAAAAACACGACATTAAGTAAACAATTCAAGATAGTTTCTGCATTTTTTTCCAGCAGATGCCATCCACAAATGTACAACGAGTTGATATTTTTATACTGTTTACCTGTACACAACAATAACCAGAAAACATAGCCATGGCTCAACAGAACAAGATGCACACCCATGCCTATTGGGTCTGTTCAGCCAAGGTGGTGACACGAAGGGACTAACTTTTAACGTTAACATTAAATTCAAGAGCATGTTTAAGAATCCACAAATGTAATTTACTAAGTAGTGTCACCTTGACAATGCAACATTTGGCCTGCTCTCCAGAGAACAAGAATGATTTTTGGAACAATTATATGCTGCACTAAATCTGGTGGACATTGTTACCCTTCACTGTCCACCCAACTCTGACCATCATTGTTAAAAAGGGAATATTTAAACGAGTAATAAAAGTCGTTGCAGCACCTTGCAGCAAATATCTTACCAACAGAGAATAGAGGCATCCTTAAATTTTGGGCTTTTCTGAAAAGCAGTGGTTCTTGTGGCAATTTAAACCGACAGGCAACTTAAAAAGTAAAACGCAGATCTTTCAGCTGAACTGCACTCCAAGTGAACTACAAGTACCGGACCAGATTTTCCAGATTGCACATGACTGGTTGCTCTAAATGTTTTTGCCACCAAGGTTAGCATTGTATTCAATTTCAGCTTTACATTGGCACCTCTGAAAAACCGGCTGGAACACGCAATCAATTAATATGGTTCAGATGTATTGATTGCCAGGGGATAAATTCACGATATACTTCAAATGGAGCTTCCGCAATGGGAAAACACCACCTGAATATACACCCAATGAAATTTACAATTTTAATGTGCCGCAGGTACCCATTCTTCTTGCTCAGAACACAAAAAAAAATCAAAACTGACCTAACAAGAATTAAACAAGAACATAGCCTAGATATACTGCTTAGAGCCTGCTTCACTTTTATAAAGCTTCGAGCATAACGCTTTACAACTCAAAAGGAAGCAGTTAACACACTACAGCTTTAAAGATGAAGACATTCTCTATCTAGAGCGCTAACCTACGTCGACCGACCGCCTTCCTTAAGGTAAACACGCCCCTTTACTTCTGCGCGGCGCTGATGAGACACAAGTCTGTAATGTGCCCGAGTCTCTTCAAGATTTGCCGTTTTTCTTTTTTGACAAAACTGCTTAAAGGGACCAAATAAAATGCATAGCGAATGCAGGTGAAATCGATCGCCAAGGCACAAGCTCGTCGGCTTGTTTCTTTCTCGCTTTCCAAACGGAGACGACGCTCTTCTTGCCCGGCGCGGTGCAACGTGGGCCCTTTTTACGACGGGGCAAACCTCTTTGCTTGCGCACGGACTCGCTTCTCGTACTCCACCCTGTTTTGACTGGCGAAGAGTACATAAAAAAACCGCCATCAGTGCACAGAAACGTAGCACTGACGAATACGTCGTATCGGTGAGCCTTGAAACGGCGACGACTCTCAAGTGGGGAGGGATTAAGACAAGGAATTACATCATCAAGGTGTGGTCATCAGGTGCGGTTACCAGTAAATGGTGTATGCCTCTGCTTGGGCTGGATCCTGGATGTTGGGCTCATTGAGGAGTTCCTGGATTCCTAACAGGATCTGGCAGGAACATGCACATGTCTGATGAGAAACCTCAATAAGCACCAACAAGTCAAATTGGAATGTAGTAATTTTTTTTGGACCAGTTATGAGCATTATATGGCCTCACAACAGCCTCATAGTTGGAAGACAAAAGCAGTTTCCAACACAGAACTGAATATACACAGACTGCTTTTATTCAATCCTCAAAAAACACGACTTCAACAGCTTTCTAATATGTAAAATGTAAGGTTGCAATTCTATACGGTCATTGCTTATATTAATTGGCAGTGTGCCAAACAGACTTTCTTTAGAAGTGTTTGGTTGAAGAATGGTGTGAACTGTTGTGGTGGAAAACTTAGGCCATGGCCCGTCTAAAAAGCTGCATCAGCTCCCCCCCCCCTCTCTGATGTGTACACATGGGCTCCACTTGCAGCCCAATTTCATCCAAGCGTTATAAAAAATTTAAGCTGGGGAGAGAGCGCACTACCTGCTTGATGGTGATGGCAGGCCTCCAGTCCTTGTCTTCTTCCAGGATGGAGAGGCACACGGTACCCGATGGGTACACGTTGGGGTGGAAAAGAGGCGGCTCGAATTTGCCTGCAAAGACGATAACCACGCAGCGAAGCAGCACGATGCACTTATGTACGTAGATTGAAAACTCCTTTTCGACTGAAAACTAATTTCTTTAGAACTACTTTTTGTGTTTAGTTTGTTGTCCTTCCCCCGCACACCTCCGATTAGCGGAGTTGGCTACGTACGGTGTGAAACAAGTTCAACATACATACATGTTGCACTTGGGATATAAACAAAAACACAAGAAAAACGGGTAGTCATTATCCGAGGTAGCGATTTGTTTAACACGCCTAGGTTTTTTCGGTAAAGTCACGTAGGTAAAAAATAAGAAATAAATTAAAAATAAATGAAAATAAATAACTTGATGTATTTTCATTTATTATTAAACAAAAAATTACCTACGTGACTTTACCGAAAAAACCTAAGAGTATGAATCCTTGCAGCTTCAAATCTAGAATTTGTTTAACAGTTGATTATATATTTTTTTAAGCTGTGATGCATTGTAGTGCCTTTCATAGCTGCATGAGTCACATCAACTAAGTTTGTAAAACATGCAGGAATAAAACACTCTATTCTCACAAGCAAGATTCAACACATATCCATGAGCTCAAGAATCGATGCATCCTTACAGGCCTACTTTGCTTCAACAAAGCTGAGGGCAGTGAGACATTCCTTAACGGTAGCACTTGACCATTGTAATGGCATGCATATTGAGACCTTAACGATAAGCATGGGTAAGATATACGAGTGGATGTTTACACTGCATATAACATTTACCCTGTGTGGTGTATTGAATGTCTGAGCACGTGCCATACATTTGTTTACATAGGGGGAAATGGGGCACTAATTAAATTACTGTACATGTGCACCCCCTAAGGAGTGACCCACGCCAAGACACTTTGGCAAGGCACAATGGCAACGGCAAATAGAATTGTGACAAAAATACGTCGTGGGTGCAAAAACGTAGGATCGACAACGCTTCCACTAATGGCACTCGGAATGCAGTCGTCCACGCCAACCTTAAAAATCTATTCTATCGGTGCCTCAGAACACAGGTAGTTGTTGCTGTTGTTGTAAAACACCATACAAAATGAATGCCTTTCTTCTAGGAAAACGCAGACTGCGATGGTGACCATCAACCACACACATACTGCACCTAATGTGCCCCACTTAGAAATCCTCTGCCAAGAAAGCTTTTTTTATTTCAATAATGCGAAATGAAACAGTTTCAACACAGGCTTTTCAACTCTATTGATCTGCTCGGTTTGTTTATTTAAAGGAAGACAAGAGCTAAAAAGCAGCTTCGAGCACGTGAATAGATTCCCAAGCCAAGACACCGAATCACAAAGGCCAGTGGATAAGACATGCAACGGCGGCGCTCACATTTGGGAGGCGAGGAAGGGTAGTCGTCTTTGAAGAGCATTCGCAGTTTGTACAGTCCGCCTTCCCATGGGGTCTGCAGAGTGGAAACACATTAAAACAAACATTCCAAGCGGAACTTTCGCCCTCGAAATATCAGCCTGGGAAAGGACGTGGGAAGCGCGCGGAGAAATCGCGATAATAAACGCTCTGCGGTGCCGAGAGAAAGGGCATGCCGCGTTCTTGCAGGGATCTTGGCAAGAACCCTCGCACCGCATGTGCAACAATTACTGTGCAGAGGACGAGCAAAAATCAAACGGGCTGCCCCCCATTCAGGGTAGGTTCTCTGGTACATGTAGCGTTAACATGTGCTGCGCTGGCTGCGTTCGCAAAGCGCTCAATCCGAGACGATATGGTGTAAATTGTGCGCCATTGGAAGTTAAGTGCATCGCAACATGTGTGTGTCTAAGTGAAAAATAATTGTGTTTTGGCATGATTTAAAGTTCGCCTAAAAGAGCAATCAAATATTAAACACTCTGCTGCTTCAGACCGAGGTCGAAAGTGCTTTACGGCAGCAGTGATGACAGTTCCAGTTGATGAGCTGGGAGAAACTAACTGCAGGTGGTGTGTGGTGAATGGCTTGTCTGGCAGACTGCAGGAGGGAAAATACACTCACAGCTTTCTTCCCAGGGATAGCACACTCCCAGTTCATGAGGTTGAGTGTCCCATCAGGGTTTTTTGTAGGAACCGCAACAAAACCCTGTCAAGAAGAAAATAAACGGACGCAATGTTCAAATTAATTGGGAAAGTGCTCAATTCTTCGACCAAGTATACTACATGCTTACATTATGTGCATAGTAGAATGTAATGCATAATTGGTTTGCCATACAGTCTCAATGAATGTATGGGCAAAATATAACCTCTGCACCTTTGAAAATCCCAGGTTGTTTAAACAGACTGCTATTAGTTTGGGAGTAATGATGTGATATTTTTGTTTCCGTTAAGCCAATTATCCTTAACATATGACCTCAATTACGCATGTTTGCATGTCGCATCTGCTCTGCTAACGCAAGTTAAAATTTGATTGAATAAATGAGGTGCCAGACGCTCCGGGCTACATTTGAAACGAAGCGATCATGCACATCAAATGTACCCAAATTGTAATATAACATATTAACACAGGCATGTAAAACACTGACAAAATGTGTCTTTAGTTCAAAATGCATAATTACAAACATATATATAATATTTTTTCCTGAAATAATAAATCAGACAACTTGTCTGAGCAAATTACAGCACTGGGAATCTTCAACGATGATGCATAAAAACCACCTGGGGTCCAACGCACAAGTAATTTAGTACTCAACTCCATTTCATTGTGGAAAACATTTCGATTTAAAGCTTTCGTGACTGCAGGGATTCATCTTCTTGTTTCTTTCGGTAAAGTCACGTAGAAGGGACGTGACTTTACCGAAAGAAACAAGAAGATGTGGAAAACATCTTTAAATAATGTGTAAGCTCACTAATGCATTTAAAAGAATGCTAACTTTTTCCCATGCAAAAGGAAACTCCAACACATTCGACTTGTAAATTGCTTTCCATGCAAGTACTCCACCATATCAAAGTTCTGATCAACCCAAAAAGTGGCTTCTGCAAATGCAAAACAAACACCATAACAGAAAAGACACCAAACTATGAGAACTGTGATGAAAATTCGTCCCTTGAGGCTGTTAAATTTAGAAAGAAAATTAGGAAAGTGTTGCACACAACGCACCACGTTAAAATATAAAAACAAAATTACTTACGTACGGATGGTCTTTTCTCCACGCTTTACGTTCCTGGGCCAATCTGCTCAATGCTATTCCAGACATTGTTTTACGTATGTCAGAACTGTGAATGTAGAAGGGGGTTTCATTAACATGCGTTTTTTGCATACAAAAAAAAATCAGAATTCCTATTTCTCTAAATAACAAACCATGGATGTATGAAAAAGCCAAGATGTTAGGGATGGGGCTGGCTCCACTCTGTGCCAGCCAGTTATACAATCTGTTGCCAGCAGCACTCCCTTGATTACATTGATCAATCAGGAGCAGTTACATGGCCCACCAGTAGGATAGCACGTTTCCCACTTGTTGCAGAGGGTTTTCAGTTTTCATCTGGCAGGCTTCCCTGGTTATTGTCCCAGGTTGGTTTCAAAATCATGCAATATGTGCCTGTCTTCCTCACGGTGGGTGTCAAAGATCCTGGAAATGTTATTTAAAAACAATAGGTCCTCGGCTGCGAAATAAAATAAAATTACTTAATTGGGATTACACAAAACAATTTCGATCCCTCCTGGGAAACTGCTGCAGACTATGTCTGTGAAACATAGCACCTTTGTGATAGCCTCGTGCGCTATAGGAATGACGGAAATCCCGAATGTACTCGTTATTACGATTAAATAATAATTTACAATGAGAGTGGACTTAATCTCTCTCCCGATCACCTAATGTTAATGCAAAATAAAAATGCTTCGGACGTCGGCATATGAAGGAGTGAGCTTCCGTCACACTCAGAAAATACAGTGATACCTCGGTTTACGAACGCTTCGGTTCACGAACAACTCGGTTCACGAACAGAAAATTTCATAAAAATATGCTCCGGTTCACGAACTCCGCTTCGGTTCACGAACAGGAGCCGTGGCCATTTTTATGCTAATTACAGGCTGTCACATGGTCGTGACTTCCTGAAGGAAGATCGTGGAGAGAAGAAGAGACACAGAAAGAAGTACTGTGAAGACACTTTCAGTGACTTTTTGATTTTTGGTGTGCTTTTTAGCACATACTGTACTGTACTAACTGTACTGTACAATACTGTACTTACTGTATTGTACAGTTCACCCGTTTGAGTGCTTACTGTACTGGAGTGCTTACTGTACTGGAGGGTTATGCAGCGCAGGAAGAGACAAGTGACATTGGACAGATTTTTCAGCAAAACTGAGCCTGCAGCTAGGAGACAAAGGAGAGAGGAAACCCCTGTAGGAGATCCCCTGATGTCCTTATGGAGGGGGACTCTCCCTCCAAACAATAACCGCCTCCCACCTGCCTTCCTCCATGCCAGAAGTCATCTCAAGCAAGGTTAGTGTTCTCTCTTTATACATTACTATACTGTACAGTACTACAGTAATGTGTATTGTCATTTGTTTCATATTTTTGTGCTTCAAAAACCAAAAAAAAAAGGTCAGAACGGATTAACCGGATTTACATTGAACCCTATGGGAAAATGTGCCTCGGTTCACGACCAATTCGGTTCACGACCAGAGTCAGTTCACGAATTAAGTTCGTGAACCGAGGTATCACTGTATATGGCAACATTGTAGTGTTCGTAAATCATCTATTAATACTGTCATAATAATCATTTAAGCTGCCAATCCACTGCTGGATAGAAGACTTCCCACGGTGTGTCGGTCATGGGGGTTGTTTGGCCATACTTTACCACACTGTTCAGTGCGGGTTGGTGAAGTGGAAGGTGGGGGGGGGGGATCAGGACCAGTTTAGGTATCACTTGCCATTAATATTGGCCATCGCCAGGAATCAAACTCAGGTGGCCAAGTTTGGAGCAGTGCTCTCCCCAGACATGCAGTGATGGCTTGTAAACATGGTTCAACTTTATAGTAAAAGTTCCAGGAATTTACAACAATGCAGCTGTCCAGACCTAGAACAGCACTAACGATGAAGATACACGCACTTGATACGCCAGGCAAGTGTACCATTATAAAATAATGCATTAAAAAACATATCAGGGACAAACCCGAGGCGAATAATCACCACATGCCAAAAGGTTTCAACCAATGAGTATTAGATTGCAGTTGTCAACCATAAGCGACATAAACATGCATTGCTATTGATTGGTCGCTAATTACCTCATGTTCTGTTACGCGTCTTTTGCCACCATATATGTTGGTGGGAAGCTCATGGTAAAAACACAAAAAATAGTACTTAACGTGCACGTGTGGAGATTGTCATATATGTTAATGTCAACAAAAAAATTACTTCGGTACAAATGCCATGAACACCAAAAAGATGTGCACACTTTGCACTTTCCAGCTAAACAAACACTGGCTTAAGCATGTAACGAAACATAACGTTAGCTGTGCATGTCAGACAGTGTGTCAAACAGCCGTCAGCTGATGTAAAGAAAGCGGTGCTTGACATTTCTAAGACACATTCAGAGGGTGGATTTACTGCAGCTGGATAATCTCTTGTAAAATTATCAGAAATCACTCATGGTAGCCTTCACATAGAGGAACATTTCCGATTCGACCGCACACTTCACCTGAGCATACACTTAATATTGCAAGTGGCATATGCACAAAACGCAAGTGATTGTAGCAATGTGCTATCCCCCCCACCCCCATTTAATATCCCCTACTAAGTTATCTATTAATTAAAAAAACACTTGAGGGTTGTACACTGTAATTATTTTGAAATTATTTTTAACCCGGGTTTTACATAAACTTTTTTCGATTGAGTTAGTTGCATTACATCAGTTTATTTTCCGTCATCTACAAAATAAGCCCAGAACAATGTATTGATGTTAATCGATTGTTTCCAGCACTTGTGAAGGACGCTACAGCTGCTAAGGTATTTGACACTTAAAGACAGTTTTTAAGTGGTGCACTTAAGCAGTCGCTTCTAAAGAGATATAATTTAAAGGATTTCTTGGGAGAACGTGGGACTAATTGGTGTTGAGATGTCTCAGAAGGTTACGGGATTTTTGGAGGGTAGAACTTCTTTGCAGATGGTATTTCTTTGGAGAAGGCACCTCAGATGGGGTATCTTTGGATATGGGATATCTTGGTGATGCAACGTCTGAGATATTTTTTGGGGTTATGTAATGTCTCATGTAATGGGATTTATTAGTTGGGACTTCTAAGGAAGAATCAAATGTGTTTTTGGGTGATTTAATGTCTCGCGAAGGGATGGGCTTTCTTGGGATATGAAAATGCTAATACTAGGGGGATGGGATTTCTTGGGATAAGATATCTAAAGAAGCAATATGACTTTAAGTGGATGTGATCTCTGAGGAGGGGGTGTGATTGGGTTAGAAGATTTCTTAGGATGTGATGGCGATTCTCGGGATGAGAAGCTCTCAGGAATGAGATTTCTAAGAAATAGATACTTCTTCGGAGGGGGTATATTATCTCTGATGAGACCGGCAGATCTAGATGTTGGACTGGTGTTATAATTTATCTGGTTATATCAATTATCTCTGGGTGTTCACGGTTTAACGCGAGCGGTCGTTATGGAGGGCCGAAGCCACACGTGTTGCCGGCTGTGCACAACTGAAACCATCACAACCACCACCACCGCCTATTACAGCCACAACACACACACAACCCAGCTCGCGTGGGCACAACATTAATTACACATCGTTTAAAGCAATCGAGTCCTACACAGGAGCGGCACACGTTCAGCACGTCCCAATAACCAAGAAATATGTCTAAGCTCGCACGGGGCCTAGTCAAGACACGGGCTCGACTCGGACCACGGCCGCGGCTTTTAGCGCGGCATGGAACTAAAACACACACACACTTACTCGACACGTTACTTCCACAACACGACGACAAACAAGGGCCACCCCTGAGACGACGACAACAACTTCTTTTCAGATCCGAGCGAGCAATTGGCGCGGCGTTTCAGGCGACGGCGCCTCCTGAAGGCCTCGGCAGCTTCCCCCGCCCCGCGCGTCACCAGAGGCCGCGAGGCCCCAACCGCACTCACCAGGCTCACGGCGACGGCGGGGTAGCAAGATGAAGCGGTTACAATCGCCGTGGTGGTGGTGGCGATGGCATTCGCCTTGATTAAATAATTTAGTCTTTAAAGAGAGAGTGGTGGTGGGGGTGGGGAAAAAAGCGCGCGGGTTCCCGCCCTGAGGAAGATGGCGGCGGCGTCGCGAGACGGCCCGGGCCCCCACCTCGCGACCCTCGACCCCTGACCTATGACTCACACCCACCCCCCACTCACCCACCCCCACTCACCCCCCACTCTCTTTCATTCCATCGTAACTCATTCGTTTTCACTCATTCATTCAATCATTCCTCTTCCTCGAACCTCTCAATGCTTTTATTCGCTCATCGATTCCCTTATTGACTCCCACCCCCCCCCTCTCTTTCATTCCATCGTAACTCATTCGTTTTCACTCATTCATTCAATCATTCCTCGAACCTCTCAATGCTTTTATTCGCTCATCGATTCCCTTATTGACTCCCACCCCCCTCTCTATTTCATTCCATCGTAACTCATTCGTTTTCACACATTCAATCAATCATTCCTCGAACCTCTCAATGCTTTTATTCGCTCATCGATTCCCTTATTGACTCCCATCCCCCCTCTCTTTCATTCCATCGTAACTCATTCGTTTTCACTCATTCAATCAATCATTCCTCGAACCTCGCAATGCTTTTATTCGCTCATCGATTCCCTTGACTCCCACCCCCCCTCTCTTTCATTCCATCGTAATTCATTCGTTTTCACTCATTCATTCAATCATTCCTCTTTCTCGAACCTGTGCTTTTATTCGCTCATCGATTCCCTTATTGACCCCCCCTCTTTCATTCCATCGTAACTCATTCGTTTTCACTCATTCATTCAATCATTCCTTTCTCAAACCTGTGCTTTTATTCGCTCATCGATTCCCTTATTAACTCACACTCATTCCATCGTAACTCATTCGTTCTCACTCTCATTAATTTAATTAATCATTCCTCGAACCTCTGTGCTTTTATTCGCTCGATTCCCTTATTGACTCCCTCCCCCCTCTCTCATTCCATCGTAACTCATTCGTTTTCACTCATTCAATCAATCGTTCCTCTCGCTGGAACCTCTCACACCTTTCATTTGCTCATCGATTCCGTCATTGAATCTCACCACCAACCCCTCTCATTCAATCGTAACTCATTGGTTTTCACTCAATCATTCCTCTTGCTGGAACCTGTCAAATCTTTCATTCACGCATCGATTCCCTCATTGACTCATCACCCCCTCTCTCATTTCATCGTAGCTCAACTAGATCGCGTAATTACTACTGGCGAAACGTCGTACTCAGATTGTAAATGTTGTGGCTTGGCTCTCCAACACACCGGTGTGGTGCTTTACTAGTATAGTACACTATACACTGCACTACTATACACGACACTATACACTACTATTAACACTACACTATACACTACTATTAACACTACACTATACACTAGTGCTGTACTAGTGACGAATTGACCACGTTCTGTTTACGTGACAACCCTTACTATGTTGGCTGTGTCGGGTGGTGGCGGGTTTTAACGACACATTTATATATTTACGCGATCTAACCAAAAAAAAAAACCTCTTATGGATATTTATTGGTCGTGAAAGCCTGCTACGTGTTAAACTCACACGAGGGAAAGTGGACCAAAAAAGTAGTTTGCTTCCACGTCTACTGACGACGAACTTTTGATCAATACCGAATTTATAGAGGTAGCTTGAAAAAATGTGGATTTGTATCAGGTTTGAGAACAGGTTTTCCCCTTTTTTCTGGCAACAAAACAGGTGTTGAGATGTTAAAACACCAAACTGAAACCTTTTGCAAGGAATCATGTCTGCATTCACCACATTACTTGTGGTCAGAATGCAAACAAAAAAATACTCTGATAATATATGCATTGTCTTTGCATGTATGCAAGCCAATGCATATATTATGTATGTTTTTGGCTTGCTTCCTGCTGACGATAGCATTAGCAAATACCGATAGAAAATATGGGTCACACCTAATCTGCAAAATATTGAGATAACAATGGGTGCTTACATTATTTTCTAAACGAGCAGTGTCTATCTACTCAATGTCACCTGTGTACAATATTACGTGCCATTTGATTTAATTAAAGTAGCTGACACATTGTGTTTGGGTATTGTACAAGGTGAAGGTGTAAAAGTTATTGGGGAAATATTTTTCAGATGCTCCCCAAACAAAGAAAAACCTCATATGTACTGTAGTTAAATCAGCAGCATTTACTTTTTAAACACATCAAAACGCTTGGCAGTAACATTTCTGCAACATCAATCTTGACATGAAACACATGAAGCATCTTCATGTAACTGGCACTTATGCAACAATTCCAATCGTATCTGCGTATTAACCACAATCCCGTGGGCACGCATAATTTTGTACTTCTAATGGAAGAGTTAAAAAATAAATAAAAATATGGTGATAAATCGTATGCATTGAGGTGACAGGAGTTCACTTAGCAAGTGGTAAAGCCATGAAAAGTCATTGTGGAGCAGAGCTTAGAACCATGACTGAGGAATACATCTCAGTTATATTGTCAATATAACTAAAACAAGAGTCGTCGTTACTGCAAACACATTCAACTATATCATATGGCTATCGCCCATAGAGGACAATCTGAGCTGCTCAGATGAACTAACACATTTGCCGAATTAGTTGGCATTCAATTAACCCGTGATGAAAATGTATTTATACAAAGATACGCCACTACCCGAAACCTTGTTGATTATATCCTTTTTCTTTTTAAGGCAGTATTTTTGATAAATGCCTTGGTAAACAAACATCATGCAGGTCCTCTTAGGATCTGAATGTGGGAAAAGGCTCTAGACGACCGCTGGACCGGACGTGTGGTTTGAGCCGTGCATGAGTTGCTCGGTGGTTCGAGCAGATATGCCGGTCGTGTTAGTCACTCTGTGGGCGAGTGAAAGATAGAGATGATGGGGTCTTCGTGAGTGAGGACCACCAGCACACTGCGGAACTTGTCGATGAGCGTGAGTAGCTGGGAACGCCGCACGTTCTCGTGATACATGATTTCCTCCAGATGGTGGTATCCTCGGAAGTATGGCAGCAGCCTGCATGAGGCAAGGAGCGAGACACACGTGTCACACAAAACTTTTAAATTGGGAAGTAACTTAAAGCACTTTACAGGGGACACAAATAAACAATCCATGAGGATAACATAGACACTGACAACAATGAAGGCACAATGGAATATGCAATAACATACAAGTACAGCAAAGCAAATTCAAATTAGGAATACAATTAAAAGGTTAATGGGAAACTGATATCGCGATAATATGTTGTATCGTGAAACGTGATATCGAATCATGAGAAACTATATCACATTCTTAGGTTTTTTCGGTAAAGTCACGTAGGTAAAAACATAAAAAAGTAAAATAAAATAAAAATCACGACGTTTCGGAGGCAACACAAGCTTCCGTCTTCAGGTGGTACCGTCACAGCCACGACAGCTGTATCAAGTAAATGAGAGATTGCAGAAGCTACCACTCCGTTAATATAATGGTTGAAGACGGAAGCTTGTGTTGCCTCCGAAACGTCGTGATTTTTATTTTATTTTACTTTTTAATGTTTTTACCTACGTGACTTTACCGAAAAAACCTAAGAATATGAATCATTGCAGTCACGAAAGCTTCAAATCTAAAATGATATCACGGCAATCCCTAGTACCACCGAGTGCTGGAGGCGATGTTGTGGTCTAACCTTGCGAAGAGCCGCAGATCCTCGGGGTTGTGAGCGGCGGGCACGGCGTTAATGCAGCTGCGTTCGTGTTCGGGCAGGCTGGCCAACAGGTTCTCGGTGACGCGCCGGTTCACGGGCGAGTCCTCGCCGCACGCGCCCAGCTCCACGCTCGACGCTTCGAGGCTGGGACTCGTCAGGGTAAGATCATCGCTGCTCGCTGATGACAGAAAGGTATGAAAACGACTCACATTCGTAGACAACTAAGACCGAAGGCCACAGCGCAGTTACCACTGACGTCTATTTCGGAGCTGGGTCTGGTGGCGCACACCTGTAATCCAGTACTTTTGAGGCAAGGGGCAACTGGACACTTAGAATTATGAAACTCTCAAACATTCTGGCCCATTAAGTGACCAATAGATGGCATCACTGCAAATGGATGTATGAACCTATCACCTCATAGGTGTGAGTTTTATCCAGGCAGTCTGGTTTTCTCCCACAAAAAAAAGTTAAACTGGCCAAAGTATCCCGATGCAGGACCCTTCTGAAAAGGTTATGATACTCAGCAATGGTTTGCTAACAATATGTTTAAACGGTAATGACTGTTGTATACTAACCCTTCCTCCAAAATTGAGATTAATAATATTTGATGATTTTTATATATTATCTTTTACTTGTTTTTTTTAAACACACCAAAGCGCAGCAAACTGCAAAACACCAGGTGTTGTTAAGTGATGAACTGGAGGAGGGCTAGGATGGCAGAATTTGCAACCTTGCTTCAAGGAAAGATAAGGCCTGATGAACGGGCACATGTCACCCGTGCAGGCGGCAGAGACAGTGGGAGTGTCAGCCAGACATAGTTAAGGCAAAAAGCCCAACCATCCTGCATGGTTTTAAAGTAACGTCAAAATCCGAAATTCAACAACAGAGTAGGCTAAAGTATCGATCCTCGCGCTCGCTCAAATTGGAGACCAGGCTGCGAGCTACATCAATGAACCATTGCCATTTGCTAATCCAATACTGAATGTTAATATTACTGAAGTCAAAACGAATTCTATGACCTCAGCACATGGGCAAATAATAGGGCAGTGTCGACTCAAAGGCAATGGAAGAAAACAGAGGCGCCTTTGTCTAAATCACAACCACAGAAAGCCAGGAATCATCACTGATTGTGTGTTTAGGGATTCCGAGCTAGTTGGAACACGTGCACACAGGGGGGGAGGTAGAAGTACGCCTTGTCCTCCTGCAGCTGAGGGAGCAAAGATAAACCCAAGAAGGCCAAGAAATTAAATTAAGTGGGTCAGCTCAAGGCTGTGTGCACAGGGGAGGGAGCTGATTTAAACAACCCTGCACGTCTGAACGTGAGGGGGCCCTGGACCTGAAATTAAGAATAACACTCCCAGAGCAGAAGGTGATGGCCACGGTGAGACGAGAATAAGAGGGTTGTATATCTC